CTAGTTACGTGGCTCATGGCCATATTTTTGGAATCTTAAATATGCAAAATATTTTTTTTATAAAGTTAAAAGTTTCCCTGGCTCTTCTAATGATACCACAAAGATGAAATTTTCAGGTCCGTTGAAAAGTTATCGCTTGGATCTCCACTAAATCATTTTTCTTTTTTTAATATCTCATTTAATTTTTTTTGAGCTATGAGTATGGACGTCAGATATCTACGAACTTCACTGGACGGTCACAAGCTGGTAATTCATGTTCACCGAAATTACCTTCATATGGAAACCCAGACATTATGCTTGGAGCAGTGTAACCATTCCAGCAAGGCTCTGCCTTGTAGCGAGCCGCGTAACCTCCCCACCTCCTCGGCTGCAACTACGACGTCAAGCCGGATGAAGAGTTTGCCTTTCGGAGGAGCTACCTCCGGTGTCTAAATCCCGAGGTGATAAACATATCCCTCCAATCATTTTTTTATCTTATAAAAGCGAAAACATGTACAGGATTCCTAGTGGGTAGATTTCTGCTGCTATAACAAATGCAACATGTGGCGATTTTAAGTCAAGACTACCATCCGCAATGAAAAAATGTTTCTTCTGAAATCGTTCGGCCCTCCTACAAGTGTATTTCTAAGGTAGAAAGTTTAAAAAAAATTGCTACTTTATCATGGTAACGCCGAAATCAATCGAACGAAACAGCTGATGTAGACACGGCTCGGATACAAAATTGCATATGTCAGGCGTCCCCAATTTCATCTGAGACAATTAGTGATTTCGCAGTCACTGCACGTCATTCTGAAAAAACTGCGTTTATCCAAAGTGTAGAAAACGTCCTTGAAACTATAAGATTTCTTCTTTTATACCATTATCTTTGGTCTAAATATTCAATTTATAGCAAATAATACCCATTCTACCGGCATGCCTTCGTATCAAGCAGTGACCCGTTCCAATATCCGTCACTTCCCTCAGTAGAGAGTATTTTAACCAAATGAGGGCATCGGATGTGTTCTTACCAATGATGGACCAGATTTGTGGAGTTGCCCCACACGTGGATTCTTTCGACCATCTTTTATTTGCCTTCTCGACGAAGTGTGTTTTAGCCATGTCTTCTAAGTCGATAGCAGTAGGCCCGCATAATGAGAAGAGTTGACGGCAGGTAAGGTCTTGTCTGCTGTACAGTTGCCTTGTATAACTCTGTGACCTGGCATACTCGCAATGTGGATAGTAGACTTTTATACCAACTCGTTAAGGTCTTTTCTAGATTCTATTGCAATTTTATACGCGGGTTCACACTAATCCAGTGACTTAATGGCTTGCTGGCAATCGAGATTTATGGATGCTGAAGGCAGGTTACTAGAAGATTTGATGAGCCAAAATGCAGCCTCTGTTATGGCCACGAGCTTTACTTGCAAGACACTGCATTTGTTTTGCGGCCTAAAACAGAGGTCTTACGAGTGCACTCAACTCCCTACTCTTAGATTTAGCTTATTACCACCCTTGTGTACAGGTATAGGTTTATCTTGGAGGCTCCTGATCTAATCGTCATCCCAATCCTTCCTCAAAGGGATACAAGGTTAGAAAATAACTTCTTCACGAGCTCGAGAGGCGGGGTTGCGTAGACTGGGGACTTAAAGTTTCACAGTAGGTGGTAAGTATATTGGTGTGACCGAATAGTGATCTCAACATTTTCTATTCAGCTGACCTACTTTTACGAGGCTAAGATTCAATATCCTCAAAAAAAAAGAAGTGATAATTCAAAGATTGCATTTTTTTCTTGCTAGCTCGCTGCGACTTGCAAACCACCTAACCGTTCATTTGTCCTCCACCCTGTTATTTTTTCTGTTATCTTAGGAAAGTCACAATAATATTGGAGAAATTTCAAAAAAGCCAACAAAAACTAAATGCCAGCCAGTCATAATTTTCTCCTTTTTCCGTGAATCACTTGCAGGTGATAACTCGGACATTGTCGCCACAGATTCGCAAAAGAACACTGTCTACTTGCTGGCGAAGAAACATGGTATTGAGAATCCGGAAAAGTTTGCGCTACTGCTCGCCAATCACTTCCTTAACCAGTACGCCCATGTAGCCGAGGCACACGTACACATCGAGGAGTATCCGTGGGAACGTATCGCGCAGGAGGATAGCGGCATTTGCGACAACAATTACTCCTCAATCAACAATCGCCACCGACATAATCACGCATTCATCTTTACGCCCATTGCGCAACGCTACTGTGATGTGGTGCTGAGACGAACGGGTGGGTTTTTGGAAATCTTTAGTATTATATTTTGATTTCAGTGGGGTTTCCTTATTTACTTTCCATAAGTTTTCCTTCATCTTCTTCTTCTATAGATCCCAAACAAACTGTCATTAGCGGCATTAAGGGTCTTCGCGTACTCAAGACAACTCAATCGTCCTTTGTTAACTTCGTCAACGATGAATTCCGCACGCTACCCGATCAATATGATCGTCTTTTCAGCACCGTCGTCGACTGCAGTTGGGAATATTCCGACATTAAAGATGTGAAATTCTGCCAGACCTGGAATTGTGTGAAGAATATTATAATTCGAAATTTTGCTGGCGATCCAAATGTGGGCATCTCTTCGGTATCTGTACAAAATACTCTGTATCTCTCCGAAAAAGAAGTGCTTGATGTTATACCACAAATTTCCGTGATTTCAATGACTCTGCCAAACAAACATTATTTCAATTTCGATACGAAACCTTTTCAAAGTGTTGCGCCAGGTGAAAATAATGAAGTTTTCATTCCAGTCGACAAACCACATGGCACAATCTATGCGCAGTTGGCTAGAAAGGATCTGAAATGCCATTTATGAAATTTTAGGATGAAGTGAGATTTTTTTTGTTGAAGTTTCGTCTTCTCAATACAAATTGAATGCTGTTTAATTTTAGTAAATAAAATTGTACATATATATTTCAATAAAAGAAGTAAAGAATCTTTAGCTTTTTGAAATAGCAGCGCATATTTAAGTACAAGTGTTTAGGCGCGACTACTAACACCAAGATGGTATGCACTGCGCACAAAAATTTCCTTTATGGAATATTTATATGAAATTTTTTCACATGCACTTCTCAATAGGCTTATAATAAAACTTTCTTAAATTATAATTTGATGGCACTTCAAAGTATGCTCAGCCTAGTCTGATTCACCCCACGGACATTGCTTCCGGGGTTTTTTGAGAACTCTGCATGGCTGACAACTATACAGAGTTGGTTACTGATGATGATGCCCTTCGTATATAATAGATATATAGAAATTCATAATGCGGTACGCACCGCGGCCTAGTCATCTATTGTGACCTCTACACTTCACAATATCCCCCTGCTAGACCTAAATCCCTCAGAAAGTTATATAGCACTTGCGATGTAGGGAGTGAATGTGCTTAAGCTGTGGTCGAACGTTGAGCCTACACTTCTCTACGCGACGCGTCGCAGACTGCATCACACTCGATGGGTGTGAAAAGGGTTGCTTAGTCGACGCGTCATTTGACCATATCCGTAGCTCATGTATACATAAATCCTCTTAGTCTGACAGTGTCCTGTAAGGAAAAATTTTATATTTCATTATTTACTTCTCCTTTGAGAGGTTAATTAAGTTTGAGAGTATTCTTTTGTGGTAGCCCTCCCAGTAGACTCTTTGCTGACGTACTCCTACCGAACTATGCCTATTTAAAATCCCTCTAGTGTTCCTCTCCTATTCTAGGCTCCTTCCTTATCAGTATTGGGACCTACATCCAGGAACGGACTCGGACCAACATGGGAATCGCTCTCTTGCGAGACAGACCTCGTTTCGTTACCCTCTTTCCCATTTGACCAGATACCCATCGCTAGTCGGATATTGTTGTGCCTGCCAAGGAGTTGGTCTAGGCACTCAAGGACCAAAATTATTTATTTTATTAGATAAGAGAGCCTTGAGTGCTGCTGACTGTCACTTAGAATTATAATTCCTCATTACGGTACCCTCTATTTATGTAAGGCTCCGCACAACAAATAAAAGGCGTAAACTTACGCTTGAAATAGTGCTCGGTTATGTCCCCAATAGGAACTAGGAGATACTGGTCCAGTCATAAAAGTCTGGCGATTAGTGTTACTATATGAGTCAAGAAGGCGCTTCCAAACATTTTTTTAAATATACGACAAGATATGGTTGGTTATAATCTATATTCAAATGATTTCATAAATCCATTCAGCAATTTTCCTATTTTTTTTTTTTTAGCGGCATACACCAATTCTGAGATTACAATTTTGTGATTATTCCAGGAAATTCAAAATATCAAAGTATTACCATATACATACACACATATTTACATAGTTAATAAATACTCAATAAAAAATACTCATTACTTGATTAATTCACACTTTAAAGAATACTGCGAATAATTTTACAAAATTTGATTATACAAAAACAAAACAACAACATACTTCATATCTGCGTAATAGCGCGCACCACACTGCATCTTTCCATTTCGCCAACATCCCACTCAACGGCACAGCCAATTGTATATTGCGGAAATAGCCGACGGAACTGTGCAACCAACCCTGTATGGAGGCATATTTGTACAAATGGTAAAAATCCTGTTGCTGCTCGCCCAAAATCAACAGAAATTGTTCGCCATCGCTCATCGCAAACGGGTGCAACTTATCAACGCGTATTGGCAACTTAATGAGCTGGAAAAGTTTATACGGATCCGCGGGCGCGCTACTCAAATCATAAACATTCACATGCTGACACTTATGGCAACTCAGCAACAATTGATAGTGATGCGGTTCTACAGCTACCAGCGCCATAACATCATAGGGACCATCGATGACTTGCGCGAGTTTAAAGTGCGCCGTCTGTGGCATGAAATGGTAAATGCTGACAGCTTGTTGATTGCCTACCAAAGCAGCGCTAGCCAACACGGTTAAGTTATCCAGCTGGTAGAGTTGCACTGACTTGCCTATGCCAAAAGGTATGGTTTGCCAATCTTTAACTTCGTCGAGCGCATCGTCAATACGAAGCACGCGCACTTCATTGCGATTGCGCGCCTCATCGATGGCATGCAACAGCAGGTAGGTATGATTCTTAGCATCCACAAATAATTCAATGCTCTCAATATATTTTCGCATGCCAAATACTTTTGCTACTTTCAAGCCGTTAACGGTAATTTTACTCTTTATTTTCTTAAAACGATCGCCGCAATAGTTTTGTGCCTTCGCCGATATCGCGCCAGCGTTGGCGTACAAAAAACTCGTGGTAACATTTGTTATGAAGAGACGACGGTTGTGTAGCGCAGATTGCACTTGTAGAAACCGATGCTCGCAGGGCGTTACATGCCGCTGTTCGTAGAGGAAGGTCTCATCTACACTTTCGTTAGCATACTGCCGCAGTACCTGTGTATCGAAGTCAAAGTCGAGGTATAGCAAATGTGCGTTTTGCTCATCAGCCAGCAAACTGGTGGCATTCCGCGCGCTCAGTAGATTGCTCAGCTGATTAACGGCAATTGTTAGCTGTTCGCGGAAAGCGTCGTCGCCTGCCAGCTGATTGGTATGCTCCTCAAGTAAGTTCGCTTCATCTAGCGCCGGCTCCTCGTCTTCGGTGCGGTCTGCAGTACTATTAGATAACGTGCGCCCTCTAGCGTGCAGCGGCATATCGGCAACAAGCACTAAGCCCTTCACAAATATACCTTGATCTATGGTAAGATTATCGAAATGATAGTTCGCCGTAGTGAAAATACTTTGCTGATATGCGTCCACCAGCCGTTGCCCATTCAAACGCGTCACATGCGAGGGCCCATTGAAGATTAGATTACCATCAATCAACTTTTGACCGGCGATCACTTGCAGTTGATCGCTTTTCTTGTATATCAAATCATCGATCGGCACGCCATTGATGGACTGCAGTAGCGTTTCGTTGTTGGTCACCAGGTGTTCGAATATCAGGTAGCCTTGCACTTCTTGTGGCTCACCATTTAGCTTGATTCTATTTTTCAGCAAATAATCAAAGCTCTGCCCATTAATATCGCCGATCTGCAGCGCGTCATCGATCACCAAATTATGCACCCTTACGGGTGGCAACGCACCCCTTGCTGGCGTATAAACCTGTGACGTTGGCATGCCATTCACTTGACCTTGCACAATCAGTTGTCCAATAATGGGTGCTACCTTGAAGTATAAAGGTCCGCCAATAGGCACGCCGCTCGAGCGCCGGTAGAGAGACGCATGGAAGAGTTGCACATCTACCGCGTTAAGTGTAGTAATCGCCAGCGGACCCTCAACCAAAGCGCGCTGCAGTCGTAAGGGTTTGTGAAACAATTTCGCGCCTACTATCGTCTGCGGCGCTGTTGTGTTCTTCAATAGGCAATCACGCGCTATGTGCGCAAGGTCCACACCATTGGGGAATGTGGTGCGCGTGCGCATTCTACTAATTAGCGGTTGTGTCATGTATACGGTGCCAGAAATCGCCTGATCACCACTGCGTCGCACCGCGTGTCGGTACAAATATTGCAATTGTTCGTATTGTTTCGTACTGATGCTGCTGCTGCGTATCGCTGTATCATTCCAGTAAGCATTGCCGTGCACCACTAAATTTCGCCAGCGTCGTTGTGTTAGCTGTTGCAACTGCTCGTTGAGTGTCGCGAATTGGAAAGTATTCTCGAAATTGCCAACTAAATTGCCGTGTACCGTTAATTTTGGTACTATAAAATCGCCATGCAAAGTAAG